GAACTTCGTACGAACTTGAATTGTCCGATTTCGAGGACCAAAGGATATCGAATTGAATCCAAAACTTGGGGAACATCATAATATGGTGGTAGGAGTCATTTGGTGGGTTTTGAGTGAAATCCAACCCCTAGAACTATGCAATACACCAACCACTCAATTTCAGAACGAACTTCCTACGAACCTGAATTGTCCGATTTCATAAACCAATCGATATCGGATTGAGTCCAAAACTTGGGGAACACAATAATATGGTGGGAGGAGTTATTTGGTTGGTTTGGAGTGAAATTCAATCGCTGAAACTATGCAATACACCAACCACTCCATTTCATAACAAACTTCGTACGAACCAAAATTGTCCGATTTCATGAACCAGTCGATATCAGATTGAGTTCAAAACATAGTGAACATCATAATATGGTGGGTTTTGGGTGAAATCCAGTGGCTAAAACTATGCAACACACCAACCACTCCATTTCAAAATGAACTTCGTACGAACCTGAATTCTCCGATTTCCTGGACCAATCGATATCGGATTGAGTCCATGATAAGTTCATAATTTCATACATTCACATGACTTCTTTACTTAGTGATTTGCTTAGTTTCTCTTTATTTTGAGTCACTTACCTCTTTTTGTTTGTTTTGTAGGTTAAGACAGCAAGAGATCACATTTGATGCAATCCATGCTTGTTAAGGGCTGATTGGGATAAGAGGAATATGAGCTTAAAGACAAACCAAATTTGGGCCACACTCCTTGTCAGTCCAGTTTCGTGGGTCATCTTGCAGTCCTCATTTCAGCAACTTACACAGGTCGGATGAGGAGACATCCTTGATAGAAGTTGTTTCAATGGGTGTCTATTATCGTATATCCAAATTTCAGCCCAATTGGATAAATCTGGAGCCCTCAGCACGTCAAATACTTAACCAAGTTCATAGAAATGTCATGTTGGCTGTCATCACATTTAAATGTGTCTACATCCCTAGAGCCATGTGCTAAGTATGGGCAGCCACATATGGGAGTCAAATCAGCTCAGAAACTCAGAAGGATGAGCAAAAGTCAAGTTTTCTATTAAAAAACCATACCAAAGCATGTATTTGGCAGCTGGAGCAGGTGGCAAGTATGGGCATCTGGAGCAGGTGGCATGTAATAACCCAAACCTAAAATTAATATTTAATTATTAATTTATTGGAGGAAAATACTAAAATGCCCTTAGAGTTTTTATTAGGTCAAAGGTTGACTTTTTGACCAAGAAGGAAATTGGGTATTTCAACTATACCATTGCGTAGAGCGCGACGAAACAAGTCCGTAGACACGTAGTGGACTCGAATCGGAATTATAACAAAGAAAATATGGTCAAAATACGGTCAAAGTTAGATTTTAAAACCCTCAGTTTCTCTCTCTCTCTCTCTCGCGGCGCACCCGAGCCCCCCCCGATACTTTTCTCCAAGCCACCGTCGCCACCACACCTCACCTCCGACCTTGGGACCGGATCAAAAAGAACCGGGAAGCTTTCCTTTTCCCTTCCCGGCCAAGCCCAGCTGTCGAAACCGCCGGAATCCGCCGGATTTTGCAGAAACCCGATCGGTTTCGGGAGAAAATTTCAGGCGCTCGTTCTTCGTCATCCGGCCACCATTTCCGATGAGTGAGGTATGGTTTCTCACCTATTTCTCGAGCTCTAGCTGCCTGTTGGATAGGAATTGGTTGATTTCACGTGTAGGAGAACGATTTCGAAACCTAGGTATTGACAGA